TTCCCCCCCCTTTTTTTGAACTGTGAGCCACCCTGAGTCCCAGCAGGGAAAAGGGTGGCATACAAATAAAGGGAAAATGAAAAAATGAAAAAAAAAATGAAAAAAAAATTTGCAGCCAAAAATGGAGCTCAGGAGCCCGTTTTGACTGTCAGAGCACTGGGGCCAATGCAGGCATCGTCCCCCCATGACATCATGCTGGCCATGCCCCTCCCTGGCCACGCCCCCCCTCTCAGGTCAAACATAACCCTTATGCAGTCCTCAATGAAATCGAGTTTGACATCCCTGTTCTAGTCCACCTGGTCTTGACTGTCCTTTTCTCTCTCCCTCCCCTTTGTCTTCTTCAGGCTCGGCTACTAATAGCAGTGAGGAATCCTTGGGGAATGGCTCTCACTGCCAAACTCAGGACTGAGTGTTCAGCAAAGGACAGAAGACTAGATGGCAGAGCCAGCAGCAATCCTAACTGAGTGGGCAGCCCCAAGCCCTGTTGCAAGAGCTAGGGAAGGACCTGGGACCACCCTCCCATCTTCCCAGCAAAGTATGGCCGAGTCCCGCTGCAGGGGAATGGAACCTGCCCCCCCCCCTCCTATTCATTGGCATCCTCCACAATCCGGAAGTGGAGGGTAGTATTTTCCCGAGTTCCACACTTCCCTGGAGATGCTTTGTCCGCTCCCGTTCCACCCCTCACCCCAATCCCACCTTGTTGGTTGCACCAACAATATCCCTCCTATCTCCCCCATGCTCATTCTTTACCTGAAGACAGCAATGATGCCATCCTCTTTGGCCCATCGTGTGAGTGGCTTAAGTCTTGGAAAGAAATATTCAAGACCCTTCTCTGGCTTCCTGCAGCAGCCGCTCAAGTGGGGGTTTGCTCTCCAGCTGTGCACACCATCACATCGCTTGAGGAAACCAGTGAGAAACACCACCCCCCTGCTTCTCCCACATGATCCAACCAAGCCAACTCCAAGGAAAATGAGGACATAAATATACCGTAGCTGGCCCTTGGCTCAGTTGCGTGCAGTGTTGGAGAATAAAGATGGTTTGTTTGCAGAGAGAAGTGTACGGTGGCTTGTAGCTTTCCACTGAGGTGATCTATTGCTGCTTCTAAAGAAGGAGAAACTGTTTTTCTACAGTCAAATAAAGGAGCGAGGGCAGCTTTCCTCTGGAGGTTGAGAGGCCACGGCTATCCTGAACAGCATCTACAGAGGTTGTCTCGATCATCAAGCCAGGGGTCCTCAATCTTGGCAACTTCAAGACTTATGGACTTCAATTCCCAGACTTCCTCAGCCAGCCTTGCTGTAGGTTGGATACCATGCTGGCTGGCTGAGAAATTCTGGGAGTCGAAGTCCATAAGTCTTAACGTTGCCAAAGGTGGGGACCTCTGATCCAGGCCATGGTAGTCCCAAAGGTGTTTTTTTTCAAAAGGCAACTGGACTTTCTTGAAAACATTTCGTTTCTCATCCAAGAAGCTTCTTCAACTTGAGAGAACGAAACATTTTCAAGGGGTAAAAAGACCAAGAAAGTCCAGTTGCCTTTTGAAAAAGCACCTTTGGGACATCCTGAGCTCCCTCCTGCCCCAATCCCTTGGGCCATGAAAGCCTAGAAGAAGAGAAGGCGGACAGGCCCAGTGAGAAGAGGGGAAGGGGATTGGGAGGGGAAGGGAGGCAGAAAAGAGCACAGACTTACA